CCAAACCATTCTATGATTCTATGATTCTCCATTTTAAGCCTTTTCTTTTTTACTGAGACCTGAAAGTATTTTTTGTCATAAGGAATTTGCCTCTTTTCCTGAGATGAAGGTATTCCATGGGATTCTGAATTAGTAAGGACTATAAGGAAGGACTATAATAACTTATAAGGACTATAAGGACTTAGGAAGAAGTTCTTCACCGTGAGGGTGGTCAGACACTGGAATAGGTTGCTCAGGGAAGATGTGGATGCCCCCTCCCTGGGGGTGTTTAAGGCCAGGCTGGATGAGGCTTTGAGCAACCTGGTCTAGTGGAAAGTGTCCCTGCTGATGGCAGGGGGGTTGGAACTGGATGATCTTTAAGGTCCCTTCCAACCCAAACCATTCTATGATTTTATAATTCTATAATTCTATTAATTCAAACTGTGCCTGGGAGAAATAAGAATGGAATAAAGATCGAAATGTTATTTTAAAATGCCAACATGCCTCATTTTGCACGATACTGAGAAAGTGTCTGTTTTACTATTTTCTTAAAATATTTTCTGTTTCTAATTCTGTATTTACTCTTCAGTATCACATGTAAGAGTTGTTATTCCAGGGTTTGGAGTCTCTATGTAGTTATTACTGAATCAGCTAAAGACTTATTTGTGCATTACTTCAAGCATTTAGAATTGACTGCCACTGCCCACTAGGTAGCAAATATGTTTTACTCAAAATGTAGATGATTTAACTGTATGGTCCAGAGAGGAAATATGAAGCCAAATCAGGTAACATCATATTTGGTGTACAAACCTCCTGCATATATTTTATGCTTCAATTGCAATAAACATCCTTGAAAATCTATTGGGCAGTGGTGAGCAATTGCACTGTGCATCACTCATTTGTATATTCCATTATTACTGTTATTATCTTTATTATTGTCATTACTATTTTATGTTTTATTTTATTCCAATTATTAAATTGTTTTTCTCTCAACCAATGAGTTTTCTTACTTTTACCCTTCCGATTCTCTCCCTCATTTCCCAGCAGGGGAGGGTGAGCGAGCAGCTGTGTGGTGTTTGGCCACCAGCCACATTAAAGCCACCACAATGGGTAGTGGATTCATGAAATTTGTGACAAGTTTTATTATTTTTGCTTAGTATTTTTATGATTGTTTTTCTAGAAACAACAATTCAGGCAGTGAAAGTTTAACCCTTAATAATGAGTGCAGTTTCAGAACCTATCAATATAGAAGTGGGGAGCCTGTGTCTAATAGCGAAACACATACTAAAAATTAAGGAGGCAAAACTCAGCTTTGGGAGCATTATTTCAAACCACTGGAAAAAAAAAAGGGGCCTTGCCATGCAATATGGACACAACTTTCACATTACAACTCCAGCCTGTGCTAGGAACAGGATTCACTTCACCTAACTTTATCCATCTAAAGTTCCTGCTAGTTGTTTAGATACCTTTGGAGACAAGGGGAATAGCGCACTTCAGAATGAGTGCTAGAATGAGGTACCTTATGTCAGATGAGATTAATTCCATCCCATGTGATGTTTTTAAAAAACCTTTAACTCAGATTGGTTTCACAAGAGAATAAATCAATAGAAAATTCCTCTTTAAAAATGGAGAGGTTGACATTTACTCTGAAAGTTTCCCCTCCTGCCTACGAAGAAATATTGAGAGGAAGAAAAACATCACAAACAAGTCTGGCTAACCAAACATTCTGAGTAAAGAATTTTGACCCTCCTGGGCAGTTTGAATAATATTTGCTTTAATTTTAGGATTTACTTTTGTTTACTGAAACCTACTAACTGTCTTTTCCCACTGGATTACAGTAGCTGTTTAATACAATGACAATGGATTCAATACAGTGAATGAAGTGAATGATAAAGAACAAAACACAAATACCAGCCACGGTTCTTGCTGGAACAGACTCTTTGTTGATCCAAAACACAACTTGAGACAGGACTACAGTCATGATGCATGGAATATATGTCTGAATGAGATAGTAGCCTATTTTCCTTTGAAGATGGAAATAGAGTAGCTGAAGTGAATATTCGCCTAAAACAAACAAGCAATGAAAGTAATGAATGAATGGTACATGTGAAGCTGAGCTGTTCAAAGACCTTAATGCAGCATACCAAAAACTGTTCTGGCTGGAACAGACTCCTTGTTAATCCAGAAAGACACCTGAGAAAGAATGACTGTCATAATGCATGGAGTATATATCTGTATCATGAAGTAGCCCATCTTCCTTTGCAAGTGGAAATAAACTGTCATGATTACATATTCACCTGTTAAGAGACAAGTAAGTCAGCATTATTTTGGCAACACACAAGTAAACGTTATTGGCTTAAACCCAACATACTGTGTTCTGAGGAAAGCACTTACAGGCCTCCTAGTGCATAATAAAGATAAGCTGATTAAAAAAAGGTAAAGTGACCTTATGGAAACAGAAGAGAACAATATTTATCTGATGTATTGTTTTTACTGGAGCGGGGAGGCAGGGGGAATTCTTAAGAACTGCATGAAAAATTGTATGCTTAAAGGTATCATATTGAAAAGCTATCTTTTAAGACACAATGGTTTTCCAAGGATTTTATTTTTTAAAATGGCAAAAGATAATTAAACTAATTTGATTCTAGATGGAAAAAAACTTATAATTTATTTTCAAAATGTGTTTTGTAATGTCAATAGTTCCCACATGGCTACGTCTTACCTGTGTTGGATTTAATTGTTTCACTAGATACAGTTTGTCCTATGAGGTCATACTGGAGAAGACTGGAAGACTCTTGTGGAATTTCTACTGAATGCAGGGGTCCTTTTTTCCATGTATAAATTATTTCACTTTTTGGATAAGCATCTGAGTTAAAGAGGGAAAAATTACAGTTATTAATTACATAGTTTATAAGCAATTGAAAAAATAAGTAGCATGATCCCTTTTGTGGCTCAAACACCCAGAGAAACATGCATCCTCCTCCAGCAAGTTCCTAACCTCATTAATGACAAAATGCAAGAGAATGGTTGAGGTGGGACCTGATAGGCACTAGCTTTTGTTTCTTAATTTGCTATAAAACACACGCATTGATTACCACAGATTGACTAAATATTTTCATTTTGCAAAACTAGAAGTAATATAATAAATGTACCACAGATTTTATGACTTGTTGAAGGACTCACTTTGACTACTACATGTATAAGAAAAATAAACATTAAAATATGCTTCAACAGTCACCCTTCAGTGAATAAACCCATGTGCTTATGAATAGTCTGAGTTTCAGAGGAGAAAGTAAGATTCTAGTATGAAAAATGTAACAAAAAATTTCAGTTATGTCATTAAGTAGTGTCCGAGGGAGATCAAATGTATTACTATAAAAAACTGAAAGATACAGAAAAACTTACAGCTTCCAAACTTCAATGGACAAGCATGTCCATCCATAGGGAAGTTCACCAACCGCATAGGACAATCAGCATTAATGGTTAGTCTAGAATACATTATAGTAGATGACAATGAAAAAAAATTGTATGCAGGAACACTACTGAAAGAATCAAGAATAAAGTTCAACCAAAAGCAGAACAGACTCTCACCTCATTGTGTAAAGAATAGTGCCATTCTGCATAATTCTGAAAAGTTTGTTAGGAGTTGTCATATTGTGAGCAATCGACTTTTTTCCATTTCTAAAAAACGTGTCTGGTGTCCAAATTTTACTGACCATTAAATTGTTCAATCTCAAAATTTCAGTTGGCCCACTAAACTTCAACCTCTCATCAGTCCATGTCTGCCGAAAGAAGACATCCATTGTGTATTCCTATAGAAAATAAACAGATGGATGAGTCATGTGTGGGGGCCAGTAGTCCCAAGTTGCAGTGTACACAGTAACTCCATGAAAGAACGTAACACACATGTCAATGGCATTTCATTTAGTGCTTAAACACTTAATCCTATTACCATTAAGTAGCTACTTAAAAAAAAAAAAAAAAGTCTGTGAAAAAATATCACATTTTCTTATTATTTAAAGAATAGTTACAAATTAATCAGTGAACAGATAATTTGATATGAGAAAGGAAAAAAAAAAACCCATTGTCCTCTCAGAGAAAATAATTTAACTCAAAGTGACTGAGGTCAAAGGAAATACAAATGTCTAATTGAGTATCCTTTCAAAGCGCAAAACAAACTCTCAATGTTTAATTGCCGGGAACAAAATCGCCCTCCGTGCCCCGCCTCGGTCCTGGGCCACGGGCTACCCCGGCTGGCTCTGCTGGGGAAATCGCTATGGGCAGCTCCAGCCGAACGGCTCTGCCGGGCCCTGCAGATTGTGAAGAAGATTAGGCCTCGTAATCTGCTTTAATGACGGTCAACTCAGATGGCACCGTAATGAATCCCGGGAAAGGAGAGCAGGGGCGGCAAGCAGGGCCCTTACCATCTCCACGTCGGACACCGGCCCAAAGCTGGTC